TGCATCATACGTATCTATAACCGCAGTTCAAATATATGAACTTCATATATTCATCATAACCAAAAAAATTCGTCATGAGTAAGATCACTTGTTGGTGTCAGCCAAACACATAATCGTGTCACCAAAATTGAATGCATTGTTGACTGGTTTAAGAGAGTAACGCTGGAAAGTAATCTCATTTGAGTAGCCCACTGAGGTAACAATGTCTTTGATAATGCTAAAAAGGATGTTGAATGTCTCTGCTAAAAAGGATGTTGAAGCAGAACGAGTGCTGTGTGCTGTAAATATAGACACATCAATACCTACAGATTTCAAAACACTCTTGCACCACTTGGAGATGGTGTCTTTGCTGGCTGGGCCATGAGGTTTTACATGGCTAAGTAGTAATTGACCAGAATCGTTTCGAATGACTTGGGTTTTCTTAATATACTCCTGTAAATGTTTAATAAAACATAAGTTTTCATCTTCTGGATATGAAAGAAACTCAACAGGTTTAAGATGGGTACCCACACGACTTTGCTTAACTTTTTCAGTAATTACAAAGGTACATTTGTGGTCTGAGAGCTCCATATTTTTAACTGAAAAGAATTTGACTGTCTGACACCTTTGTCCACTCAGAAGAGTTAACAACAAAGTCAGCTTTAAGGTCAACTCCTTCAAGGAAAGCTCTGATACAGATGCACCTTTACGAAGATAATTCAACACAACGCTCAGATCCCACATTGCTGTGTATCTAGGCAAGGAAGGACGAAATTCATAAATCCCTTTCATAAAACGCTTCACTATGGGCAGCTGTCTAATTAGGAGTGATGGGCTGGTATTAAGCTGAAGGATAGAAGATAACATACTTTTTGCGGTGTTCACAGTGCTGTAGGACATTCCATTCTCATGTAGCATAGTTAGGAAGTCAAGAACTATTGGTAAATCTGGAGAGAGAACATTACTTTTCTTTTCGTTGCAAAACTTTATCCACTTTTTCAGGTGAGACTGGTACTGATCGGTTGTTCCCTCACGCCATGAGGCAGTGATAACTTTGATGGCTCGGTCAGGGAATCCAGTCCTTTAAGTTGTTGACAGACAGTAGGCAAATAAGAAGAGACATGTTCTTGTGAAGAGGATGTACAGTTGTTGGCATTGCTGGTAGTCTCAGTAGATTCTTTGAGGGGCAAAGCTTGACTGGAGGAAGTTTGAGGAGAGATGTCAGCAGAGGGTACCATGCTTGAGTGGGCCAGTCGGGAACCACTACCACACAAGTTGCCTGATCCTAAATGATTTTCTGTAGCACCTGTAAGATACAGCTGAAAGGGGGAAAACAGTAAAGCTTTGTATCAGACCATGAAATAGTAAAAGCATTTATGAATGATGCTCCTGGGTCTGGTCTGAATGAGGAAGAAAATAGGAAATTGCTTATTCAATCGAGAAGCAAATAAATATCTCTCTGGGCTAAAGCTAAGGGTCTTGAGGGCCTTAGTCAAAATTTCAGGGTGAGCAACCATTAAGTATCTTGGGAATGGAAATTCCTTGATTCTCCATGTGCAATTTCTTTGGGGGAACCAGGAATATGGGCGGCTGTAAGCCAACGGATATTGTGTGAAATGCAGAATTCCCAAATCTGAACTACAGGAGAATTACATTCTTCACTATGACACGTACCATGTTGTTTATTTGAGAGACAGCAGAGGTATTATCAATCATAATTTTAACATGTTTGCCAGAAAGGGAGGAATGGAAACACGGGAGAGTAAAAAATGCTGCAAGTAACTCAAGGTAATTTATGTGATGCCTGCTTTCTGTGGGTAG